GTTCAGAGGTGTGAACCTGAGCCACACACCAAGCCCACAACTAGTATGTTCAACTGCATGCAGGTCTCTAAATATTTCAAATAGAGTAAAATAAAACCTGAAGGCTGCATACCCCAGCAAACAACCTCTCTCAATTCTTGACCTTGGCAATGGAAACTGACAAGCCATCCAGCCTCTGGGACGCTGCACTTCTGCCAAGTTCTCTTACTGTAATAATCAAATAAATGTAAATCCAATTCACAACAATTGCCTTCTAAGTCTACAAGAGATATCTAGCCTCTGCTGAGGCAATATCACTCTTCTATAGAGACCCTTAAAAATATTATTAGTATGTTTATTTTACATCCAGACAGGAACATACAGATGATTTTGCTTACGATCCAATTAATTCAGCCCTATGTGTTCAGTTTTCTCAGCAATCACCAAAATTCTGCTCTAGAAGCTGTCACAGTTCTCTCAGCACAATCTCTTATCTTGAATGACTGCTGCTCAAAAGCCACTGGGCCATCCTTCAATACACTGCATCAAGGCTATGTTTGGTGCAGATATGTGCTCATTTAAGCTGTGGTGAGAGACTAGCCATCCAATGATTCCTAATGATAGTCCACAAAATGTCTGCACACTTCAAAAGCCATCATCTAAACAAGATCCAAGTAATCAGAAAATAAAAATAGTCAATACTTTACACCCAGCATAATTTTTCTCTGCTGATGGAATTTTTGCAACTGTACAAGATGTCCAGCAGTTTTCCATCACCATTCTCCACCACTAATTTCAATTTAAAATACTTGGAAAACACTGACTCATAAACAAGCTGACTTGTTTAACCTTTTACTACTTTTCAGAATTGTTTTAATTCAAATTGTCAGCTTAACAATTTCCTAGGGCATCTTTTTACCCTGTTAAAAGCTATTCCTACACTTGCCACTCCATTCTTCTTGGATTTTATATGTCCTCCTTGAATTTTCAAATACGCTGGTTAGCAGCCCACAGTATGCTGTGCTCACTCATTTAAAAGCCATCTGGTTGTGCTGGTTTTGAAATATTTAGTTTTACTGATTGCCCCTCACTTTTTCTCCACCAATAACTTCCACTGGCTAAAGCAATACCCGTTCTATTTGTGTCCTCATTATCCAAAACTGCACTCTTTTTAACTGCAATATTTGTTTACCTCAGCCTGTTCACCACCCTCAGGTATTTCTACTCTATTCTTTCATGAGATTCCCTCTTTTTTTCTTTCCTACTTTCACAATCTGGTTTTGAGATTTTCGCCCTCAGCTGCAAAATAGTGCAGTATTGAATTGTAATGGAGTATTTCTTCATTACAAAAGGACTTTATGCCACTGCAGACATGCTGGTGGAGAGTTCTCAAAAATGTGGCCACCAGAAGATCCGTTTTAAATCACATTTCGCTTCTGCCCGCTCAATTTCTTTTTTATCACAGCTATCAGGCTGCGTATCTTTACCCTAGAGGCAAATCTTGTGTTCAACAAGATGGGTAAAAGGTGCTGGATGTATGTGAGCACAAATATGTACAATCAAGTTTCTTCATATGAAAGAATACACAAGCAGCAAAGCAAGAGGTGCAGCAGTATCTGTTTCAGTTGAGCCCAGGAAGTCCTCTGAAACTTTTCTATGGCTACAGGAGGCAGGGAGGAGACATGGAGCAGGAGAAGGGAAATCCGATGTGAGCTTCTGTAAAGTATTCTCACAGTTGTTTAAATACCTGACTGCTGACAGAAGATAAAACCTCTGCTTTGGTTATGAGGGCTTTCCTCTGCAGACCTTTTCTCTAATAAACCCTTAACTGAGAATTGGATGACTTTCAAAGATGTCAGCAGGCACTACAGCCAATAGAGAAGAAAAGGCTTTGCAGTAAGCAAAGAAGAAATGACCTACAAAGATCTCAACCACAGCGGTACACTCCATATAGCTTAAATGCTTGCTGTTCCTTTTTTTTTTTTCTTTTTCTTCTTCTTTTTTTTTTTTTTTTTCCACACAGTAACAGGTATCAAACACAGATTTCAGCCAGAATTCATAAACCACTTTGTGCTATTAACCACAGGCTGAGGAATCCATGGTCACATTGTGCTATTGTGACCTAAACACTCCCTATGAGATTACTGAACAAGTATAGCTGCGTGAGCTAAGATATCATAATCCTTCCATGTTTCTTTTTATCCTTGATACCTTCTAGCACTATTAAATAAATATTTCCTATCCAATAAAAGCTTAATGGATGTACTACAAAATGGCATAATTATAACGATTTGCTATGTTTCTGACAGATTTGGGTCTGAAGTCTGTCACATATCCTGAGCATTCAAATCAAAGAGGAAACTAAAACCAAAGGACTTCTTGTGCTCAGAAAAGGGGCAACATGCTCAAGCAAGCTAACACACTGGGTCTTTCCAAGACAAGGGCTTTTTCTGTGACCTTTCTGTATCTTTCTGTAACAGTCGAAGGAGCTCAAAGCTAATTGCAAACTCTTGTCTCTCTCAGTAAAGGAGATTTATTATAAAAAAATCTTTTTTTCCCCCCCTTGTTTATAACTGAAAGGTCAAACAGGTCCTCAGGATTCTTTTTCTCAAAGAAAAAGAAAGAAAAAAGAGTATTTCACTATAACTATGGATGTAATGATCATCTAGGAAGATAACATCTGTACACAAACAAAAGTAAGAGATTATTCAGAAAGCAGCTGTACTATCTGGGGGTGGCACAGCATCAAAAAAGCGTATGAGTCAACAACATCATGCTTATGCAGAAAACAGTTTCCAAGAGTTTCATATGCAAACGTTGAGAAGTAATTATGCAAAGCACAGTGGGACCCCTGTCACCAAGCTCTCAGACATACCTTGCAGCCCTCAGAAAGACATTCCAACAGCTTCCCTGGAGTAGTAGGGTAGTGCTCCTGGCTGCCTGCCCTAGCAGCCAGCACATCAGGGATGCACTACTTTGACCCACTAACACTGTACAGCTCTGTGTGGCAAGGCAAGCATAGTGGCTTTTCAGCCGTTGACACCTAAGCTGTCATCTGTTTATCATCTGCTTCAGGCTATATCCTTTAGGAAAGGACACCCTAAAAATGGCTTGATCATTTCAGACAGTAAAGTTATTAAAATATAGGTAGTAAGCGTGTCAAGCCACACAAGGCAAACAGCAGGCAAGCTCTGATTTTATATACTATATTAGAAATTTCAGGTGAAAACAAGCAGGGTGTCTCAGGTTGGCATTTTCTACTTTAGCAGGACCAACTGTATGGCTTACAACACTGGAGAACTTTGTACATTTGTTGCCTTGTTTTCCCAGCTATGTCTACAACATTCCTCATATTCTAGGCCTAGCTAGTTTGCTTTACTTGTTTCAAGTGATATCAGAACATTCAATTTCTCCAGCAGCTGAAAACTGAGCATTGAGATAATGCTAACAGTCATATTGATTGGAAGGTTGCTTCATTCTGCAGTCTTTTTGTAGTTTTGTGACTCCTCGTTTTAAAAATTCCCAATGCTACTATAATACAAAACTGAAATTAACTACAGAACACAGTATTATATACACGAAAAGCAGGTTAGAGCCATCTATTGTGGAGAGACAGTGAGACATAATCGTCTCAGAATAATTTCTCAGGAGACAGTCTATGGAAAACTATTCCTTTTCTTGTAACTCAGTTAAACTCAGTACACCCATAAAGTCAGAAGGGTTTCTGTTTATTACATGGCAAGATCGTTTCATCTTGGAGATAATCCACATAATTGTGGTTAGCATCCTCCCTTTATGGTGACACCGTGCAAGTAAAAAACGCCCATGTCACAGGAGCTGTGTGCCCACTGAAGATGTCTGCAGACCAGTTCAGTTAGAAACGTTAATATGTGGCAGCTGCAGGCTGTTAACTTGACTTCCAAATTATTCATTTTGATTTTACTAAATTATTTTAAAAGATCAAGTTAGCATATTTATAAACCTACTTAGCATACCAGATGACATTGTTAAACTAGCTATTAATCTAGCTATAGAAAAGAAACCATTTTTTTCACAGTGCTCACAGGCCACTCAACTTGCTCCTATGTCTTTAACAGATCTGTGACACGTTTCTAGCAACCAGAAAGGGTTACTAGAAGTGTGGTGGCATGGGTGTCTACCACACATGACCACAGGCTGCCTGAGAGCTTTACCTGGAGACAGCTGGAAAGTATGACAAGAACCACACATAGCCTGGATATTAGCACTGTCTTGTGGTATGGAGCCTGGGCAGAGAGTTAAAGAGCGGAGGGATTAACAATAACAAGCAGTTTGTCTGCTCGTTGCACAGAGCCAGCTTTCACATGCAAAAAACTTGTTGGCCAGAGGCTTGACATTGCCAACAGCAACCAGCAGGATGTAGGAGGAGAGGCTGCTGTTGAGAGGACTGGCAGGAAGGACTGCAGAGCAGAAGCAAATGCCAAGTTTAACTCTTGGCTGGAGATGGGATTTGCTGCCAAGTTGTTGCAGCATGCATAGTCTTATCACACGTGCATGTTTCTCTTGACTGGAATGGCATCAGCCCTAAGTTGTAAAAGTTCACAGGATTATGAAAGACGAAAGCAGACATAAGTGGATTCTGTGTCAGGGCATTCACACAAACCTCAAATTCTCCAAGAATTGCTTGCAACTTCCAAAAATATCCAGATGTCTTCTTTCAGAGTAGAACATACATTTTGTTTTGTCTATCACAGCACTGACAAAAGTAATCCACAGGGAAGAAAATTCTTACCCTTCGTCTCGCTCCAATTTATAGGAGGGAGAGGAGGTTTTTTGATATCTGTATACCCAGCGTGTGATTAAGAAATAACATTTCAAATGTTGGACCGAACAGTTTATTACATATCTTAATAAGGAAGATGGGGAAGGGGAGGATGGTCACTATTATGAATTAGGGTAATGGGGAAGGGAAGGTGGGCAATAGAAAAGATAGGAAAGAAGAAGCAAGGAGTCTTTATAGGAAGCAAGAGAGAGATAGTCACCACCATGGATCCAGCGTGGTTTGTAGCTCAGTCGTTGATCTTCAGCAGTGGTGGGTCATCAGGCAGTGTTGTTCTGTTGACGACGACGGTGACCACGGTGATGATGGCCACTTTTCAATGGTAGTACCAACTTATTTATAAGTCCGAAGTGGTCGAGTCAGCTCTCCTTGGAGTGGCAGCTTCTGGCACTGGAATCTCAGCAGAAACTCCTTTGTTCCCACCTTCCGGGCCTTGTCAGCAGATAAGAGGGAGCAGGGATGCCCACCTGCATCCTGTTTTTCACAGGACATGATGGTATCATTCCCCAGTTTTCGCATACCAAGCTGGAGCTATTTAGTCACAGGCCAGATCTTCCGCCAGTAAACACTCCTGAGCACTCTCTTCCGGAGGCAAGCGGCTCTGGAGGAAGGTGCTTTCAAATGTCCACAAAGTTTGTTGATTGTCACACGGTAGCACCCATCACTGGCCTCCTCAATAAATCAATCAGAGTCTTATCACAAGAAATACCTTAGGAAGCAAGCTTTGAGCCAAAAAACAAAGAAGGATTCTCACACCCTTCCAAACTGCCTTACACATCTAGTGACTTGAAAGCCCAGAATAAATGTGCATACAACAGCTGGATCTTTTAATGCCAAATAAGACAGCATGCAGATGGGTGACCTGGGAAATGCCTAGAGCAGAGAGAAATCAAACCTATTAGAATTACAAGAACTGGCCTGCAAGTCAGCACAAGGCCTGCTTCTAAGCCTGAAAGGCTTAGAAATTTCTGATCTGGTTTTCCAAAGTCTATCTAAGTTTAGACTTCTGTATATAAGTAGCCTACATTTAAAAGTCTGTACCCTTCCAAGGACCAATTCAAATCCCTAGACCTAAAACAAAATTCAACTGTTACAAAGAAATACAATGGCACAATAATTTGAAAGTAAGTCAATTTGGAGCGAACAAAGGGATTTTTAGCGAAGTCAAAGAATTTCTAGGTCTTTCGTTTCCATAACATTGCGATTACAGCCATTCACTGCAATTTAAAATGAGAGATCTTTTTGTAACCTGCAAAATTCCCGTGGAAAAAGAAATCCAACAGAGAGAGAATAAACATTAGCTACTGGACCCATGCTGGCAGGGAATACACTTAAGAACCATTTAAGCTGCAGAACTCTAGGATATGGCTCGTCTTCTCCATTTCAGGCTCCCTCACTTTTACTTTCTGTAAGTACAATGCTGCGTCCCAAGAGAAGCTTTGAACTGCATGCCCAAAAAGTAACAACATCCTTCCATCTGTCTTATGCCAAATCCATGTTTTCAAGAAGCCAAAAATCCCACAAGATCACATTGCATCTGTCTGTGTGCATTCTGCTCTCTCTTCCATATCCTTTCATTACTGAATTAAAGGACATTCAGCAAGGCACAAGAAAGCAAGATACAACCTTCACCTCTGCCTTAGGCCCAAAAGCTTACTGACATCTTTCCCTTGCATCCCTGTAATACGGCAACACAGCTGAAAGTAAAATCAAACTGACAAGCAGCACTCCTCAACCCTAGAAACCTGTGCACATAGATTCAATTCTCTAACTGCTGGAAAAATCGCTTGTTCACAGCTCCTTCTGCAGTGATATTGATGATGGGGCTGTCACAACACAGGCAAAGTATCTGTGAAGAGGTACTCACATCTTCTTATGAACTGCGTCATGGAAAAGAACAAGGACACTGCTTCAAAATCCAATATTAAGAAGAATTTGATCTATACCAGACGGTCCAAACAACCAAAAGATTCTATATGCTGGTAGAGTAGTTAGGAGCCCAAACACCCTAAGGTTAACAGGACATGTTCTTTTAAAACTCTTTGCATTTTCCAAAATCTGCTTCAGCCAACTCGTATTTTGTTATCTGATAAAGCACCACATCCAGAAACAGGGTGCATTCTGCTTTCATACATGAGAAGCCTATTGGAAAATATCCAGGTGTTTCAGAGTACAGGTCAGGCCTGCAAGGCTTATGGGGAGAGGTCGAGGGAAGTGGGACTGCTCAGACTGGATAAGAGAAGGCTCAAGGGAGACCTTGTTGTTCTCTACAGCTCCCTGAAAGGAGGCTGCGGCAAAGTGGGGGCCAGCCTCTTCTCCCAGGTAACAGTAGTACCATGAGAGGAGATATCCTTAAGCTGTATCAGGAACGGTTCACGTTGGGTAATAGGAAGAATTTCTTCTCAGAAAGAGAGGTGAGTCAGTGGCAGAGGCTGCCCACAGAGGTGGTGGAGTCACCACTCCTGGAGATGTTCAAGAACCGCGTAGATGTGGCACTGATGGATGTGGTTAGTGGGCATGATGGAGTTGGGTTGATGGTTGCATTTGGTGATCTAAGAGCTATTTTCCAGCCTTAATGGTTTTCTGATTTGCCAGCTGGTATTCAGCATGTTGCCAAAGGATCCTCTTTTTCGCTCTGCACTTGCAGTTACTGGGCACCACCCTCTGCAGGCACAAACTCAGGCTGTTGGTGATAGTTACTGTAGTGAAAAGTTACTGTGACGTGGAATGTTTTGACTATGGGAAACAATGCACTCAGGAACAGTAGATTCAGGCCACATGAAAGCATGTGCCAGAAAACTATTTAATGTTTCTTTTGTTATCTGAAGGGATATGTATTCCTTTTGTCTTCCAACACATCAATTGGTGATAGAACTCTGAAATAGAGCCCTGAAAATTGAGAAAACCTATGATACCATCTATCCCACTCCCCCCAAATTATTATGTAGATAATCACTCTGTTGCAGCATTATACTCTAAGGTAACAATGTATAAGAAGATAATCTTCTCCAAAGTACCAATTTAATTCCTATTCCAAGAACAGAGATCTATAAAGGGACAAAAGACAATACATGTTACAGCCTGAGCTCTGCAGCGTTCAGGGCCACTGTCAATCCTAATAAATCCTTTGCTAAAAATAAACCAATATAAATCAACAAAATGCAACTTCAGTAAATAACTTACAAGGTGTGTTTGTTTTTTTTTAACCCCTAGTATAAACTATCACAAGAGTAGCATCACCTGAGGTTAACAGGCATCTGAACAGAATAGTAGGGAAAATACAAAAAACAATTCCATTCTAATACTTCCTTTTCTCCAAGTCAATTATTTGGTTGTTGCTTACAGAATACATTTTGTACCCACCTACAAAAGCATCTCTTTTGTAATCCTGATTAATGTTTTCCCCTTTTCTCCAGATCAAAGAGGCATTCCTAGCTTCTGAAGTAAAGCATTTGACATCTCTTTTGCTCGCAATAGCTCCAGTGCATGTGAAAAATCCAAAGTTTCTGGGCGACTAACTCCATCTTCACTTACAGCTTTCAGGCTCCCTCACACACATCCTCAGCTTCTTGTGCAGGAACAACCCTGTTTCCATATCTCTAAAGCATAACCGAAGCAGTAATTGCTCAGAAAAATGGATTCTCAAGCTAGGAAAGGATCAGTGTCTGAAGATCCCTTAAAAAAAGCTGAACTTTAGTGCAGCAACAGCATTGGAATGGTACCCAGTTTGAATAGCTAGCAGCAGAAGCTTGCAGTTACTCCTCCTCTTCCTGTGATCCATTTGCAATGCTATCTCCAAGTACTGGATAGGTGTTTCCATTGCAGTACCTCCAAAACAGAGCACTGTTAATCCTGATATTTTGCTGGTTCAGTAACAGCAGGAATGCCATGGCAGGACTAGGAATTAAAGCCAGATCTTCCTGTAGTAAGGTTTCAGTCTTGTGACACTGAGCTCATTCTCTGTCACATGGCATGGCATGCCATGGTATCCTTCAAAGAAAAAGAATGTCTTAGGACTGGGAGGAAAAAAAAAAAATCCTAGAAAATGTCTCTTCCAAACTGAGGACTCACCACTAAGTTTTTGTTTGTTCATTTGTTTTTTACAGAACTTTTGTTAGAAAGGGGTCTACGTCAGATGCTTAGGGCAAACCATATCAAAGACCTCTACAGAAACTGCCACTGAGGAATTACACTGCTGTCACATAGCTGGCCCCAGAAAACAGGGCTAAATGTGGCATGGAGGACACCACATCACTTTGTCATCTGAAGCAAGTAGCACTTCAGCACGTGCTTCACCTCTCCAGTCCATGGGAACTGCTTGCATCAGCTTGCTTTCAGCCTCCACTAGCAAACAAGCATTTCCAGTCCCTCCTTCAGATTACTGAAGCCTGTATCTGTTCTAGTGCTTGTCTTGCAAGCTCTGTTTGACATCCTAGTTCATGTCCTCTGAGCTCAGCCTCCTTTCTTTATTATCTGGTGGCAGACCTCTATCATTTGTAAGAATGTGTTCCTCTGAGAAAACAGAAACATAGAGACAGGTAAGGGAGAAAACACCATGCAATATGGTGCCCTGACACCTGAAGTATGTGTGGGGAGCATCTGACCCCTCCCTCTTTATGTAGCTCAGCCCTGCAAAAGCATATTGCTCTACACTTTTCACAGCAAGTTCTATTTTGCATCGCTGGGGCACTTGCAAAACATACTTCACTGCCAAAGACAGACTAAATTATATATGGACATTTAAGCTGGACACTTCAGTATGCTGCTTCTCTGAACATACTACAAGGAGTTCAGTATTTGACAGCATTTGTTACACTACAATTCACTCCTATATGGGATCACATCTCATTCAATTTTCCTTCCCATGCAAGGCAGGACAAGATGCTAGCCAGGCCTCAGCTGGATGCCCAGCTGTGCTACCAGCTCTCCTGCTGTTGGGACTTCAAAGCCTATCGGCTTCTCTTGTGCAATCACACTGAGCCCCAGCTGCCTGGTAAAGAGGCCAACACTTATTTAATTCAGCTGACCTGCTTCACATGCTTTGAACTATTTGAACAGCCGATCTATCTAACAGCAGGTCCAGACAAACACCCACAAAAATCGCACTGGAAGGAAGATGGCTGAATGGAAACTCTTGCAGATTGTAACCACCCCTTTTTCTAGGCTGGTCTCTTTAGAGTGAAGTTTACAAACTTCCAATTTGAAAGATCAACACAGACAACAGTTAAACACACTCAGTGCTCCTATACAAGAGACAATTATCCGTTTTTAACAGTACAGTATTGATAGAGTTCATCTGGCTACTCCTCTCTTTCTCTTCTGTTTTCCTTACTCCCAGATATATTCTCCCCCAG